CTAACATGCTGGCCAATTCAGGAAATTAACAGATAAAAATGCTCTATTGCTCTTTGATTCCAATCATCCGTGGCATCTTAAGATCAACTTAACACATTGGCAATTTCTTAGAATGAAAAAAAAATTCCACTGAAGAGAGAGATTTCATTGATGAAAGTAAAATATTAACAACACAATTGAAAAACTGGGGTTACTCTATAACTGTTATAAATTCAGCTTGGAAACGTTCCAGGAAAAGAGACAGAAGGGAACTTTTATATAAGGAAAAAATAACACAGATAAATTCTAGAATTTCATGTGTATTCCAGTTTAATGGTCTTTCTACAAAGATTAGAAAACTTTTGCACAAATATTGGCATGTAGTATCCCATATACCAGGATGCCAACAATCCCCTTTAGTGGGATACAGACGGGCTAGAACGATTAGAGATATTCTAGTAAAATCAGATGTAAACAACCAAGCCCAATACATACAAAATCATTTCAAATGCCAAAACTGCTCTATATGTAATAATTGTTTTGAAGTAAAAGAATTTCTTAGAACCTTCCCTGATAAATTATCGTTTACCACACTTGTCCACCTGTGCCAGTAAAAATATTGTATATGTAGCCTTCTGTGTGTGTCCAAAATATTATGTGGGTAGTTCCACATGGTCATTAAAAACACGTATCATGGAACATAAATCGAGATTGAAAAACAAAATTTTGGACACATCTATGGTGGAGCATTGTATGTCAATCCAGCATCTTTTTGAGGACTTAAAATTCTTTGTGATCTACAAATATGAGAACCAAAGCCTCAACCGACAAGATATTAAGAAGATTCTTCGCTGTAAAGAAAACATCTGGATTCACAAGCTCCATACATTGACCCCAGAGGAAATGAACCAAACAATGGACCTCTCATGCTACCTGTGAACTGGATTACCACCTTACTTGAACTTAAAAAAAGGGGAGAATATCCCCTTTAAACATCAAAGTAAAGTTTAGACTGTTATCGAACTGAAATGCATTATGAAGTGGAATGTGGATTTTTTACTACTGTCACTTTAATTAGAGAATACACATACTAACTGTTAACAGGTGCTGTAAGATTTAATGACCAGAGGACAAGGTCAATACTAGGCAGCCTTAAGAAAGACAGGAGCGCTCCATCTATGAACTTCAGCTGCTTAATGTAGTAAGAAAACTTTGTGAAGACAAGTTATATTAGAAATATTATGTACAATTTAGATTCATGAATTAGGTCTTTTAACAGCCTTTCGTAGGACCAGCAACAAACATCAATGTAACTACAAAAGAAAGCTTTCCCCCTTTAGAAGACTTCCAAGCAAGGAGAAGTGGGTGTATAATTCTAGAAACTCCCGTTGGGGTTTGACTTTAAAAAATGATGTAAATTGACTGGTAGTTATTATACTGAATGAACTGATTATAATTGTTTATTGCATGTAACGAATATATATACATGTTTTAGGATATTATAATAGCACACAATACACTTTATAAGATGGTAGTTAACAAATAGAACACATTAATTTACAAAAAAGGTTTTTGCAGTATATATATTTGTTATTTGACTCTAACACTGCAGCTCGGGTTGCTACAACAATTCTGGATTAAGACAAGAATGAACTGTACCACCATATTTTGCGGTCAGGATTCTTTATATTAGATTGTAGTTTAGGCAAGACAGGAGTTTAAAAAGCAAATCATCAAGTGAATACTTAAAGTAGAACTATTATTACATTAGAAATGGAAACAGATTCAGCAGATGACAATTTTGCTTCACAGATTACAAATGGAAATGATTTTTTTTAGGTGATGGATCCCTAGGAATTATATGAGAGAGCACATATATATTTACTGATTGGTAAACTGTATGTATGTCTGCATCCAAGGAGAATAAAACAACAAATACATACAATAATCCAAATAGAAAGCCAAGTTACAAATTCACCTTGTTCGTTTTGATTTGATCTGTAGAGCCAAAGCTAAATTCTTTATATGCCTCCTATCACACAGTAGAAGGGATATTGTAATCAGCATTTGCTATGAAACTAGCAAGTGATATTACAAACAGTAAAAGTGAATTGCTCCAGTGATCCCGTGTTAACAGTTAAATGATTGGGTTTTGAGGGGTATTTTTTTGTATTTTGCATATGTGCATGTGTGTTACTGACCTCCTCTTGGGGGCCTGGAGGATATTCAGAGAGGGGGCTGAATAAGGCCTGTCCTCACCTCCCGCCTCTGGTATTTCAAGGATGTCTCCCATCTGAGTACTTGCTAGAGTTGACCCTGTTTAGCTTCCAAGATCTGACGAGATCAGGCTTGCCTGGGCTATCCAGGTTAGGGCTAACAGTTAAATGATGCTGAAATAGATGAGCAAACAATAATGCCCACAGCATATCATATACCCTTCTTTGAGAGTGATAAAATTCACATGTCAACAGTGCCCTAGCTTTCTTACATTTTTAAAATTTAAGGGAAGTACATGCAATAAAGGACTGGGTCTAGTGCAAAATTTCCATGGACTGAAAGAAGGGACCATTTTTACCAAGTCAGCCCTCCTGTTGCAGACTTCAAACTTCCCTTACCTTGTTATTCTTATGGGTCTCCATCCTCTAGGAGCAGCCTTTTAGGAATGTAGCAAGAAGGCAAAGGTGATAAGTCCAACTCCACTGACAGAAATCTTTACCATCAGCAGAGATTTTCCACAGGAACCAGGCCACTGTCTTAATTTTTATAGTATTAGTCCAATCAAAACAATTCCCATAGGAACACAGATGAAGCTGCCTCATACTGAATCAGACCATTGGTCCATTAGGGTCAGTACTGTCCACTGAGACTGGCAGCAGCTATCCAGGGTCTCAGGCTGAGGTCTTTCACATCACCTACAGCCTGGTCCTCTTAACCAGAGATGCTGGGGGTTGAACCTGGGACCTCCAGCATGCAAAGCAGAGGGCTCTTCCACTGAGTCACAGCCAATGTTCCCTCTAAGCTGTGGAGTCTTGTGAGCAAAAATCCTACTTTGTGAGCTACGGGCATTAAAGTTGTGAGCGAGCGATTTGGCTCCTGCATAAATTAGTTTGCTCTGGAGCCCTCCTTCCTGAGCTAAGGCAAAAATCTGTGAGCCAGAGGTTAAAAAACTGAGCTAGCTCACACTAACTCACCTTAGAAGAAACACTGGTCACAGCCCCATCCCATATAAAGTTTTGAATTGTTTTGAATGTAGCACATGAGGCCCAACTAATTTTCCTCCCTAATCAATTATTTTTGTTCAAGTATTTATTGCTAATGGTACATAAAATTAACATAGGGTACCTTTAAAATCTTGTTTACTAAATATAAGTCAAAGTAAACATGCAAAATTTCAATAAGCACTATTTTGGGCATTAGAGTGATTTCCCAATTCAAATTTTTCTGGGAAATCCACATCATTGATCATATAAGAGTTAACAGTGGACAACTGGTTAGACAGGGGTTTTATGGTGCAGCAGCAACCAAACTCCATGGCAGCAAACTCTAGAGCAATTCCTTTGAAATCTTCCGATGTTAGTACCCAGTGGGCAGAAGGACCTTGAGCCTTCAGCTGAGAGCATTTTCTGATCATGACACATATTAGGGTGACAGAGCTTGTAAACACTACTAGAGTTTCTGCCGGTAAAAATGCCAATGCCCAGATTTAACAAGAATTTTTCAATACACTTCTGGCAAAACGGGGACCCGCCCTCAGCCCTGGGAGACTGAGTTGCCATCCTGTGGCTTGCAAGCCCGTTTTGGCCTTCCCACCCTGCCTGGTGGGGCGATTTCTGTCTGTTAAACGCTGCCACCACTCACTGAATTGACACCGCCTTCCTAGAGGGACACTGAGACCCCTCTGGCAGATTTCCCCACCTTGGGAAATGGGTACCTCAATCTTTGGGCACCCCCTGGAGAGTTGGCAACACCTCTTATTTGGGCCCGTTTGTGTTCCCTGGCCTCCCTTTGCCCCTGGTAATATGTAGAGCGGGGAGGACCCTGTGGTTAAGGCACACCAGGCTTTTTAAATTCAAAAAGGAAGATTTATTTAACTATATACATATTGGGCACAGAAAATAAACACCGGCACTTCAACACAACTGGGACACAGAAAATAAACAGGATAAAAACGCAATTCCTCTGTCCCTACCCACACACCCTCTCTACCTCTGTAGTGGGTTGTGGCCTCAGGCCAGGATTTGCTTTTTCCCCTCCTGTTGCAGAGAGAAACTCCAGCCCTCCTCCTCAGGACTGGCCACCAGTACTGCTACCCTCCTGGCTCTCCACCACGGTCAATAGTGGCCTGGATTGCCCATGGAGTCTCTAGTAACAGGAGTCCCACCAGGCTGCTGGGAACTGTAGGCAGGGAGATATGGCAGCTCCATTGTTCCCTATGGAGTACCCCCCCCCACCCACGTAAGGAACTACCAGGCTGGTATCCATTTTAAGGCCTGGCAGCCATTTCGTCACAAGGATACAAGTAGGTTTTGCAGTTATAGAGCACATGAAGCTTCCTTACGTAGAAACAGACCACCGGTCGATGTAGCCCAGGATTCTTTGCTCTGACTGGGAATAATTCCTCAGTGTGTCTAACAGAATTCTTGGCCATACATTGTATCAGGGGGATCAAGGGGTAGAAACCGTATTGTTCTTATTCTCCTCACAGTATTCATATTTGTTTGGAAGAAACTAATGAAGTATGAATGTAAACCATGCAGTATAACACTGAACCCTCCTCCCATTACAACCCTGGTTGATGAACATCAAGAACAGTCTGGGGGTGAAGTGGGGTCTGCAGTCCGGACAGAAATCCAAAAACAAAAAACAAACAAAAAAACACCCTGCTCCTTTTCTGCTTGCAGAAGTGCCTTCTACCACCAGAATTTATAGTTAGGATCTAAGCCAATATTTAACCATCTTTAAAAAATCATGATGCACTCGCCTGAAAGACTGCTTAAAAGAATTATTAAAATTATTCTTACCAACTACCATAAGGGTGAACTCAAAGCCTTTTTTCACAGATTTCCGATGAACCTGGTTTGGAAGGTTTGCAAATCCTACATAACCAGGTGTTTCTGGATTGGGAAACTGAGCAGGTTGTTGCTAAAAAGAAACAGAAGATCACATTTATTTAAATTAGATTATTAACAGCATTATAAATAATTGGTAGTTTTCACTCACACCCTCCTATATTTGCCTGAGCACTCCCCTTCCCAACTCAATCATCTACAAAGCCTGCATTTCTTTGCAATCTTGAAGCTGGTACTTCTTAACCATCAATCAATAACTCACTAAAAGTCATCTAAAATGACATGTTCAACTGAGAGAATGGAATGTTTTCAGTTTCAGTTCAAAAATATGAAGACTGTATAGTTTTTCCACAAAGAACAGAACCATAATACTGAATATTCACTAGACATTTTCCTTACAATTGGAAAAGACTGCACTTATGTACTATAAAACACTACATAAATGATAACAGATTTAGTGAATATGGTCAATTTATTTCATTTAAATTTACTGCCTACCCTAACCCATGTCAAGCTTTAGTAGCATAAAGCAGATGCAGACACATGAAGAAAACAAGGAGACCAAAGAAGAAACAACATTTTTGCTTACCCATATATATATCTGATTAAAAAGTAAAAAGAATCAACTGTTTTGCACGATTTCATCAGGTGCTGCCTTGATTTACAAGCATACTATTTCAAAACAGATGTGTCTGGATCTGTTCGTATTAGTACAGTTCAAAGGCTCTAGAATAGTTGCCTTAATCATGAAAATAGTACAGGACATCTGTATCCTTTATAAGCAGAAATTATTAGTTGGAGGAGAGTTTTACAGATACCATGGACTGCTGAAAGACAAATAAGTGGGTTCTACATCAGTGAACTCTCCCTAGAAGCCAATGACTATACTGAGGCTATCATATTATGGTCACATTGTAAGAAAACAACAGTCACTAGGGGAAAAAATAATGCTAGGGAAAGGCAGCAGGAAAAGAAGACCCAACATGAGATGAAGTGACTCAAACAAGAAAGCCACAGCCGTCAGTTTGCAAGACCTGAGGAAGGCTCTAAATAGGGTCATCATAACTTGGAAGTGACTTGACAACACTTACAAAAACACATTTATTAGTTATTGGCAGTGGCATTCCTTACCTTAGACATCTTCACAGAGGCTCAGTCAATCTGTTAAAAAAGACATATTCAGTTTACTACCAGCTACAATAGATTCCATCATACAATGCATGCACTATACTAGGGAAATTACCTCTGGACAATGAAAAACTTATTTTTGTCCTAAATGCCCTTGTTCTCACCAGGCCTCTTCTACACACTCTTTGTGGGAGTAGCCTAAGTGTTGGGGACTTGAAACAAAGCAAGCCTGCAGGATGACCAAGTGAGATGTGGTATCAAGCTATCATTAACGGTCTGGTGTATTACACAATAGCAAGCAAAGGATCAGGCAGTGATAATGAGGCTCAGATGAAAAGCTATGGTGATGCCCTTATCTAAGAAATTTACTTCACTGTTTGAACTTTGGCAAATGCAGTCAAAGCATTTGAGTAAGCAATAAACACCATGACACAGAGAGTACTCCATCTTTCTGTGTTATACCTCTGAGGATGCCAGTCACAGCTGCTGGCAAAACGTCAGGTCCTACAATGCCAAGACCACGGCCATACAGCCTGGAAAATCTACAACAACTAATAAACAAAGAGGTCATAACAGTAGAGAATAATTACAGGGGTGGAAACTAGTCAAGAGGGTCAAAAATACTGATTTGACTAATATTCCAAAAAACCTGACCAAATACTGACAAAAAATTAGACAAATTACTGAACAATTTAATGTCAGCCTATTGGTAAGTTAGGGGGCCGCAGTGTCTCAGAGGTTAAGATGCTGAGCTGCAGACAGAAGGTCTGTAGTTTGGCAGTTTGAGACCCTAGTGCAGTGTGAGAGAGTGAGCTCCCGTCTCTGGCCCCAGCTCCTGCCAAACTAGCAGTTTGAAAGCAAGAAACTGCAAGTAGATAAATAGGTACCGCTACGGTGGGAAGGTAACAGCATTCTGTGCGCCTTGGCATTTAGTCATGCCAGCCACATGACCACGGAAACGTCTTCAGACAACACTGGCTCTTCGGCTTGGAAACGGAGATGAGCACTGCCCCCTAGAGTTGGATTCAACTGGCTTTCGAGCAAGGCAAACCTTTACCATTTATTGATAAGTTGGCGTTTCAAAAGTAAAACTAGGACTTCATTAACAATTATTATTGGGTTTCCACCATCCCTATAGCCAGCCATCACTCACCTTTTTATTCATTTTTTTAATGAAGAAAGGACAATGTTTTCATTATTGTACGAAATTTAAGGCAAAAAATATTCCCTTTTAAAAATAATCAGATACTGTAAATAAAACAGCAAAACATTAAAAACCATACATAAAGTAATCATTATGACAGCAAAACATAATTACTGTAAGACTTTATCTTTTTTTGCTGAAAAAGAAGTTAACTCTTTCATTTCTCAACAGTTTTCTGCACTGCATCCTCAAGCATTTTTCTTGTCCTTCCATTGCTTTCTCCACTCCTTCTAGCATGAGCTGTGTCATGTTGAATCTCACAATATCCTTTTTCTCAGCAGCCTCCTTTACATGTTTGGCTACATCACTTGGCAATGTTTGAGCAATTATCCTTTTTTCGTTCTGTTCTTCTCTCAGCTTTTTCAGTTTTGCTTCCTTCTCTTGTATACCATCCTTTTCACTGTCTATCTTCTTAAACCTTTCTAACTCCTCTGCCTTTTCCCTTTCTTTTTCTCCTCTTTAATGACACACTGTTAATCACAATATTGCTAATAATGAACATGAGCTGCTCTTGCCATCTGTAAAAGCTCCTGTGTGATATTAACACGGTATACCTTGTTCTTGTATACATGATATAAAGTTTCTTTGACCATCAGGAGGGCATTCAAAGTTCACTCTGACATGCTGGCCCTTTCATTGATCAAAATGTGTCCAGATTTTGAAAACCCTCTTTCTATGTTCGCACTACCACCTTGGTAACCAGTGGGTATTTTGGATCTCCAGATGGTTTTGTCTTTTCAAAGAACTGATTCCAGTACGTATCAATGCGGCAAGTTTCACTGGCAGTTTCATCTTCAGGTCTAAGAAGTTTCCATTCATCCACAATCATGTCCAGTGGAATATCCATTGAGAGTGCTGCTGCTACTTTCATTATATCTTTGTACATTCCTTCCCTGACTCTCTGTGCTGGAGCTAAACATTGAAGATATCTGAGGATGGGCTTGTCCAAAGATGACTGGAGTAAAAGGTGTTTGCAGGCTGCTATGAAATTTTTTTTGCTCCTGTTAAAAAGAGTAGCTGTTCCCTTTCAGAAAGTTTTTTCAGTTCGTTACAGATTCTACTTTCACTGGTTCCTTCTCTCAAAGTATGTAGTGCTCATCACTGGAGGCTTTAAGAGACAGTGGTGCTGAACTCCTACAAACATGATTCATTATGGTTCTTGTGAGTGTTTTTACTTCACTGTGCATCACATGCACCAAAGGCTCTTCTTTTTGGAACACTCCACTGAACTTTGTAAATAAGCAGGCACTCGCACTCCTGCAACAAAATATCACCTCTGCTTTCATTGTCTCATGTTTTAAGAGGTTAATTACGTTTCTATACTTTGTGGAATATTTCAACAAATCACTTTATTCTTAGGAACAAAGTCTTTAAAGTACTTCATAATTGAACTGAAAACAATCTGTCTTCTCTCTGGGAAGTCATCATGTTTCCCTCAAAAAGCAGTAATAAAAACAAAAAAACACAAACTGCTTTCACAAAAATCAAAGAAATACTGACTTTACTGATCCCTTTTTTTAAAAACTGACAAATTACTGACCAAGATGAAAAAACTGACTTTTATTGATTTTACAGACCATTTTCCAGCCCTGTCATTATCACTAAACTAATTTTATTTTGTATTTATACTATTTTTATATTAATAACCGCAGTGGCTACTTGAAGCAAGTAACAATTGCTTAATGCATCCAGGTGGGGAGTTTTGTTAGGTCACAATGAACTATCAGAGGCACATGTGGGCAAGTAAACTAGTTAAAACTAGTTAAAAACTAGTTTTTATGGATTTGTTCACAAGACTATTTGAATAATCCTAAATTATTTTCTCTGTTCCCCTGAATTCTAGTTTCCTGTTTTTCCTTGTACTTTTCCCAAATGCAACCTTTTCATGGAGAATTCTGAGCTAAAAATACTTTTAGTACTCGAGAGAAATATCACATAACATAAATAAGTGCATTTGGGCATCATCTAATCTAATTTAATTTATCAAGGCCTGTCACAAATTCATCCTGGGTCTGTGTGCTTTCACATGGATGTTGTGTGCTTTGCCTCCATGTAAAAGTGTGTTCATGCCACCATACCAAGTTACAAAACCCAGCCTATTATGTAACCAGTGCCTTGGGGCACTCTGGTAAGGCTACCTCTGAGCAAGTATTTAAAGGGTAGAGGTTTCTAATTGCTTCAGCCCTCCCCCCAGTGCATGTGTGTTCCTAGCATGTATGAGCAGTCTAGGCATGTGGGTAGGACTTGAATCACAGTCTGCCTTCTTTGACAGGAAAGAAACAGTATTACAGACTAAGCTACAGCACATACACAGAAAGCAGTTACCCTTGGTGGAGCAATCACATCTCCAAACTCCCTACTGCTCCCTTTGAAAAAGAGCTTGGGTCCCAATATATGGTCATAGCCTCTGGACAAAACATTTGATCCCCCTCAAAAAAAACCCACAAAGGAGGATTCCACCTTTTAAACCTTTTTGCCTTCTTTGATAGAAGTCTCCCCCAATCTGTAGTTAGGGTTTCTGTACTTGTGGGAGACAACCCCAAACTCTTCCTCAATCAGGTTAGAAGTCATGTACTACACGCACCATACTACCAATCAGATTTTACAACTGTCATCCACCCCCACCCCCAGGTAAACCAAATGGTTATCTCCTGCTTTCTCTGATGCTCTGGAACATTTTACTGCCCTTCTTCTTGTGCAAATAAACTGATTCCATAGTCACAGGGATTCTTCAATGCCAAAGCATCCTTTCTCTCTGAATTCACAAAAAGGCCCACTTTGGACCAGAAATTAGGAGTGAGGCACTCTCCACTCTTCTATACAAACCCACATGCAAAAACAAAACTGAAACCTTCTTCTTTTCTTGTGACAATAGCACCTCCTAAAGGAAGAAATGCATCTTGTTCTTGCATTGGAGAGTTCAGTTTGTAATTTAGGACTTGTTTGTCCTCAGTGCACAGAAATTAGAGTAATCTGATCAGTGTTCCCTCTAAAATGAGTTAGTGTGAGCTAGCTCACAGATTTTTAGCCTCTGGCTCACACATTTTTGTCCTAGCTCAGGAAGGATGGCTCCAGAGAAAACTAATTTATGCAGCAGCCAAATCGTTTGCTCACAACTTTAATGCCAGTAGCTCACAAAGTAGAATATTTGCTCACAAGGCTCCAACAGCTTAGAGGGAGCATTGTATACCATACATATTTTTTAGAAATGATTTGGAAAATATTTGAACACATTGTCTTAAAATATTTTATTCAGCATGTTAAAATAAAATATTCCATAATAATTTTTTTCTTTTCTTTTTTCCAATTTTTTGGAAAAAAACAAAAAAGGCTTCAGGAAAAGAATGGAGAAAAAAACCCGTTTTCCCCACCAAATTTTTAAGGCCCTTCACATCTCTAGGAGGGAGCTAGATAAGTGCAAGTGTGACCCCACAGAAGTGATACTCCATAGATCATGGACAGCTACATTCACAATCCCCATAAACAGAAACAGCCACGACTGCTGTATGCCCTGCGCATCATCCCAAACACGCACAATTATATATCCGACATAATCTAACTTTGTTACTTGAACAAATTGTTGTTTGGGTCCAGTGGCACCTTTTAAGACCAACAAAGTTTTATTCAAAGTATAAGCTTTTGCGTGCACACACACTTTTTCAGATACACCAAAATGGAAGTTGCCAGTCAATACATAGAGGTAGAGGGTGAGCAGCAAATTGGCATACAGCGTAACAAAGTCGCTTGACACAGGCAAGGACTGGATAGATCCAAGGACTAAACAGAAATAAAAAGCTTAGTTTATATGGTTACCATTTGTTTGGGTTAAATTCCGGGGGCAAACAGTGAAGGAAATAAATATATAAATATAAGAGATTAATAGGCAGATGTACCCTTTGTAATTGTCAGATGCTGAGAAAAATTAACTGAGACTCTGCTATCACACTCCATCCATCTCCTTTTAAGTGTGGAGGCAACCTTACTTATTACTGGAGTACCTCTGAGTGTGTAAGTTACTACCATTAGTGCTGAACCTTAACCAGCCTGTGAATCTGAAAAGAAGGGAAGAGTTTGCAAGTCAAAATTATGATACAAACTGTGTCCAAGCTCTTGAACTCTCCATAACAGTGGCTGTCTTTGCAGGAAATGAACTCCCACCTGCTTGGGGTTATGCTCCCTCTAAGCTGTGGAGCCTTGCGAGCAAAAATTCTGCTTTGTGAGCTACAGGCATTAAAGTCATGAACGAGTGATTTGGCTACTGCATAAATTAGTTTGCTCTGGAGCCATCATTCCTGAGCTAAGACAAAAGTATGTCCGCCAGAGGATAAAAAACTGAGCTAGCTCTCACTAACTCAGCTTAAGAGGGAACACTGGTGGTATGTCCCATACCACCTCAGCTGCATACGTCAGCCCAGATTTATACACATAACTCCTACATCTCTGCAAGTTGTGATGTCGTTTAAAAATAAAACTATTAACTTTAATCTTGGGACCCCAGTAACGATGACTATACTCCAATTCCTAAAGAAAGCACCCACCTTCCTGGAACATGGGGTGGGTACCTCGATGGAGAACGGTATTCATAAAAGACACATACGGCTCCGGAGCCACTGAGTATCGCTGCAGCAAAATAACGGCTACAAATAATTTATGTGCACAAAACGTTGTGCGACATCAGCAACAACATCACGGAAGTTTTAAAGGTTTGTGGAAACCTAGTTTCCCAACTACACAAGATGAGCTTATTTAAAGAGTATCACCGAGGCACTCCCCGCGCCGGTATTGCGCATCCTCCCAAAAGGCCCATGACGCCTCTTCCCCCAACCTACAGACATGTTCCCAACCTCCAACCGGAAATCTGTCACAGTATAGAGCGAATACAGCTGTTCTGCCTCTTCACAGAGAGGCTAGTTTATCGCGTTCTCTACACATGCATACCAGGCCGCTGCAACCCGTTCTCTGGAGATGAAGAGCCAAGTCATGAGAACGACGAAGCTTGAAAAGAGTCTCACAAAGCAAGTAGGATGGTGGGAGGCTCCTCCACACGCTCGCGTCGGAAAAGTGCATTGAACGATCTTCTTAACCGCGCCCCCCCCCCAAACCCTACTGTTGAAACCCCAAATGCAGCACGGTTATCTTAAGCAGTAATCCAGATGTCCGTCGGGAACGCCGCCGAATTTTAAAACCGTATGGGAAAAGAGGGCGGGTAGACATTTTTAAGAGGTAGAGTTTGCAGCCAATGGGCTGCGACCAGTTTCGGCTCTCTTACCTTAAGCGGTTTCTGTTAATACTCGTCCCCTCACCTTCGGGATCTTCCTGTCCCCGGGTCAGATTCAGTACTCTCCTTCCCGCTCCCTCCTTTCTTATACTCCCCTTAATCTCCCGGGTTCTGACGACCAAAGGGACATGGGGAACCACGGCACGGCAGACAAGAACAAGTAATAACGAGGGGCGGGCAAAGAAACCGATGAGTGCTCCTATCATATACATTGATACACGGTAAAAAAAACCAAACCAAAAAACCCCCCATAACCATCATCGCCTCAGAAGAACCGCCTCACAGGCAACGCCTCACCTGGTAGCCGCCCTGAACCCTCACAGCAAAACCGCCGCAGCAGCCTTCGAACCCGCCCAACCGCCTCACAGAACGCCGCGGCGCATGCGTACTTGCGATCTCCGGCGCTGCCTCTCTCCTATTGACCCGCCCATGCAACTTGTGGCAATAAATCAGTCCTTTGCATAGCGACAAAAAAAGTGTAAAGGCGGCCGTGAATAAAGGCGCGTGCGCAATCGTCCTGCTCGGTTGCCATAGTGACACTAGAGGGCAATGGTGGGGGGAGGAGTTTCCATCGTTATTTTGGCGGGTCACGTACGGACCTTTTCCTTTACCAAGATGGCAGCAAGTCTCTCGTGTTTGGCATAGCTGTGTTGTGAGCCCATACGAGGTAAGATCTTATGTCTCTCATCATCGCGACAAAACACAAAGAGCAGCCTACTAGAATAATACACCGATAATAATTTTGATCTACATTTAATGAAGGCAGAAGGAATTAATGGGATGGGGTTGTGATCGGTGGAGCTCTGCGCTAACGGTTATTAGTAACTCTATGGTGTCTTCGGCTTCAATTGGCTTTCACGGAACACGTGGCTTCCCTACATTCTTTCGTACCATAGAGATGGTGAGAATGAGAGGTGTTAGCGCGATGTGCTGGAAGCCGTAAGCCTTTGTAGCGCATTCCTCGTACAAAATCTCTCCCCTCCCCCATAAGCGCACCCTTGACCATGTCAATTTCACATAAATTCAGGGGTCTGTCGTAATAGCATGATCCAGTAGATCACGCAGTAGATGCATAGAAGCGAGATGCCAGCAAATGTGGGTTTTCTCACCTTTAAATGCCAAGCTCCATCTTCCAAAATTCCATCTTTTGCACTGCAGTTAAAGGTACAGGAACCCCGTCCTCTGTACTCCATGGAATGTATTTATACAGCATTTATGCCCACTCTCCAGCAGAACTGTTCAAGGTGGTTCAGAGCAATATCAACAAAACAATAACAGGTAATAAAACTGATATAACTTGCAGCAAAACAGTAACCAACAATAAAACTGCATAGGAACTCAGTTACACCGAACATAACGGCAGAGTCAGAATTACCTTAGCTGGGTCAGGCAGGAGATATTGAATAACAGAAACCATAAAATCTGTAGTAAAATATTAAAATGACCCACTAAAAAACAGATGAAAATCAGTTAAAAGAAAATAGAACTGTTTTGACTTGGCATGTATATGTCCAAAGAGTAGGTGCTCGGAGCAGGTCTATAAGGAAGGAGAAAGGAAAATTACAGTTCTGGGGGGTTTGTTCTGGCAAGTTGAATCTGGCAACAGTTATCTTACAGTTAGTTTTAAGCAAGTACTGTTTCAGGTAGGCTTTGTTTTAGGACTAGACTGGTCTTTTCTGCGGGATGCTTACCAGTCTTTTCTGCTTGATGCTTATCGGGGCCATTTCTGGACCCAATAACATCAAGCAGGGGAAGCCATGCAGGGGTCAGGGATACCAGTAATTAGGGGGGCAGGGGAGATAGAATGGTGGGACTAGGATGTATTCCACTGAATGGAATGGAGGAGGTCAGAGATATGGTAATGCTCGGACCTCTTCCCACCTACGTCCCATCCCAAGAAATGTTGGTTGTGGGGCTAGGAATGACTACCTGTCTTTGTCATTGGTGTTGTTTAACACCAGGTCTATTAACAATAAGATCTCTGTCCTGCGAGACTATCTTGCAGAGCAAAATGTACATCTGGCTTGTGTGACCAAGACCTGGGTGCAGGGAGGCAAAACTGTTGCCCTAAACCAACTTGCCCCACCTGGGTTCTCGGTCTTCCACCAGTCCCAGACAACTGGGTGTGGAGGGTGTGGTGTTGCTCATTTGAGAGTCTTTTTCCTTTCACCCTGCACCAAAAATCACCAGCATTGAATGTGCTGCCCTGGCGTGGGATGTTGCGGAGAGTTTGGCTGTCTGGTGTACTGACCACCTAACACACTAGCAGATACCCTGCCTGGCCTGATAGATGCTGTATCTGACTGGGCGTTGGAACAATCCAGGTTATTAGTCTTGGAGGATTTCAATGCCCATGTTGATGATGCGACGTCTTCTCAGGCCAAGAACCTAGTGTCGTCCATGGAGGCTCTGGGACTCTCCCAGTTTGTATCGACTCTCATACACCAGGCAGAACATACGCTGGACTTGATTTTTGGGGTGGGGATAAATGTGGATCTGGTGGCTTCTGGTGGCTGCAGATGCAGTCCCATGGTCAGACCACTTCGCCCTGAAGGTCTGGCTGGGCACGCCAAATCCTACCTGTTTAGGCAGTGAGTGCATTTATCCTTGTCTGTGGAGCCAAATGGACCCTGATTGGTTTCAGGAAGCTCTGTGGGATCTGATGCCCCCTGGCAGGTCGTTAGACGTGCTGGTGGACTGGCATTCCCATCTCTCCAAAGCCATTGGTGACATTGCCCCCAGGCACCATTTCTGCTATCAGGCCAAAGCAGCCCTGTGGTATATCCCAGAGCTGCTGTGGATGAAGAGAGAGCTGAGACGGCTAGAGCGAGTGTGGTGGCGTACTCGTGATGGAGCAGCAAGTACATCTTACAGAACATTTATGAAAATCTATGAGATGGCAGTGAAGTCCTCTAACAGAGAGTTCTATGTGGCCTCCATTGCGTCTGTGACGTTGCGCCCAGCTCAGTTGTTTAGAACTATTTGATCATTAACTTCATTGCCACAAGGCAAGCAAAATGGTAGAGAATTGGATATTGGCTGTGAAACATTCACGACTATTTCACAGATAAAGTCATGTTGCTCTGCCAGAACCTCCCAGCCACAGTTGATACAGTAAAGGAACTGGAAACCCCTTGTCCATCTTCAGGCCCAATGTTGGACCATTTCAGCCGACTCTCAGGGGGATGTCTACAGGGTCCTGGCAGCTGTGAAGTTAGCCACTTGCCTCCTTGACCCATGCCGATCCGGGCTGGTTAAAGCCTGCAAGGATGGCATTCTGGTCCCCCTGGGAGAAAGTATCAACTTGTCCCTCTCCTCTGGGACTTTTCCAGTGGAGTTGAAGGAAGCAGTAGTTTGTCCATGCCTAACGAAACCATCACAGGACCCTGCGGTCCTGGCCAACTACCGTCCAGTTTCAAATCTTCCATTTCTGAGTAAGGTAGTTGAGAGGGTGGTGGCTGAACAGTTCCAGGCCTTCCTGGATGACATATCCATCCTTGATCCATTCCAGTCCAGTTTCCACACTGGCCATGGGATGGAGATGATGCTGGTCACCCTCATGGACAACCTCCAGAGACATCTGGATCAGGGTGGGTTGGTGCTGCTGTTGCTTTTAGATTTAATGGTGGTATTTGACATGGTTAACTACAGTCTTATGACCCACCACCTCGCCGACATAGGAGTTCCGGGTACTGAATCACAATGGTTTTCCTCCTTTCTCCATGGTGGGGGACAGAGGGTGGAGCTTGGCAAGCAGATCTCCCCACTTGAATGTGGAGTGCCATGGGGGTGATCCTCTCACCAATGCTGTTTAACATCTACATGCGCCCCCTCGCTCAGTTGGTCCAGGGATTTGGTCCTGGTTGTCACCAATATGCAGATGATATCCAGCTCTATCTGCTGCTGGATGGCTGCCTGGACTCTGCCCCAGAGGCCTTGGCCAGGGTGTTGGAGGCCGTGGCTGGGTGGTTTCAGTAGAGCCAACTGAAACTTAATCCAGTGAAGACAGCACTCCTGTACCTGGACCGGGGGGTGGGGTTGAGTTGGGAATCAGGCTGGGGTGATCCTGAATGCCTCACTTTCTATGGAGGCCAAGGTCACCACAGTTGCCAGGTCGGCCTTTCATCATCTTTGGCAGATCAGGCAACTGGTACCCTACCTCTTCCCCCAGGACTTGGCTACAGTGACCCATGCAATAGTCACTTCTAGGCTTGATTACTGTAATTTGGTTTATGTGGGCTTGCCCCTGAGGCTGATCTGGAAACTCCAGCTAGTGCAAAATGTGGTGGGACACCTGCTGACTGCATCGCCAGTGCGGGCATGCATTCCGCCAGTGCTACACCAATTGTACTGGCTACCAATTGAGTACAGGATCCATTTCAAGGTGTTGGTACTGACCTTCAAAGCCCTGCATGGCCTAGGACTGACATATCTGAGGGACTGTCTCTCCCCGTATATGCCCCCGAGAGCCTCGGCTGACTAGCATCAGCTGGTTGTCCCCAGCCCAAGGGATGTCCATTTAGCCTTGACTAGGGCCAGGGCTTTCTCTGCCTGTCCACAACCTGGTGGAAAATGCTCCAGCTTGAGATCAGGGCCCTGCGGGACTTCTACTGTTCTGCAGGGCCTGTAAAATGTAGCTGTTCTGCCAGGCCTTTGGATGAGGCAGTGGGCATCAAATCAAGTTGGCCTCCCTTGCTGAAGCTCTCCATTTCTATGTGGCCCAGACTGAGCAGATTTTTAGTGGCTCCAGCTTCTGAGACTATTGCACTTTAATAGCACTACCTGTTTTAATTCATACTGGTTTAACTGTTTTAACTACTGAATTATTGTGTTTATATTATTTTATATTGTTGTTGTGATCCACCCTGAGCCCATTCACAGGGAAGGTGGAATAAAAACCAAAACAAATAAAACAAATAAATCACGATGGGTAGCTGTGTTAGTCTGTAACAGCAGAAAAGAACAAGAGTCCAGTAGCACCTCAAAGACCAACAAAACTTGTGGCAGGGTATGAGCTTCTGAAAAAGTGAACAGTGACTCACGAAAGCTCATCCCCTGCCACAAATTGTGTTGGTCTTTAAGGTGCTACTGGACTCTTCCTCTTTCCTACTGCTGTAAGGAAGGAGTGCATTCCATAAGTGGGGTGCTATTACCAGAAAAGCCTTGGTTCTGGTTGTTACCTGCATCATATCTGTGGATGAGGGAACGGAGCGGGGCTTGAGAAAAAGATCTTAACTGGTGAGGAGGATGGCACAGGAGGAGGCAGTTCTTCAAATACTCTAGTTCCAAGATGGTTAGGACTTCAAAGTCAAAAACCAGTGCTTTGAATTTTGTCTGGAAGCACACAGGACATATATTGGATAAACTAGCA